GCTGGAGAACCTGGAAGAAGAAAGGAAACAAATGGAAGAGCAGCGGAAGAAGAAAGAGCTTGGGTACGAGATGGAGCGTAGCTTGTTTCAGCAGGGCTCGGGTAGAATCTGTTCCTGTGTCTGCGGTAGCACTTGCAGCAAAAGGAGATATTCAGATAGCAGCAGTGGGTTGTAAATACTTGGTTTTTGATGAGAGCACCCAGAACAGCCAACGAGCAGATGCACTGGTGCTGTTAGTTCTTTCTGTTCGTGTTAGCGGTAGCAGGTGCCTCTGCCTGTAAGTTACGTTGTCGTAGATGTCCCTTCTTGAGTGCCAGTGTACGAAAACAGAGGGCTTTAGAGTCAGTCTGAATGTGTTCTTTTGTTTTCTCCTTCAGTCGCTTTTTAAGGCATCAGTGTAACGCCCAGCTGAAGAGACGAGCCCAGCAGATACAAGAGGAGCTGGTAAGAGAAAATACCCCTTGATTTCTATGATATAGAAACTGTGTGTTGAAGAAACTTGTTCCTTGTGTTTTGGTTATGTGTCTGCCTCTGATGCCTACAGATAATTAGTTAGGAAGCCCCTTCCAGCTTGTGAACAGGGCTGGAGCACGAAGATCATGGTGAAGCCAGCAGACCGAGTGTCTCCCTGAGCACACCCTTAACACTGCATCACCCTGAGCCTGCAGAGAGCAGCCCTGCACACAGCCTGTTGGATCGTGGTTAATCGTGTGTTGTTTCTCAAGGAGATGGACAGGCAAATCTTATTAACCCTCCTGGAGAAAGAAGATGAGGATCAGCGGCGCCAGTTTGCGCGACGAGAACGGGCTGTGGCTGATGTTGCCTGGATGAAGCACGTCATTGAGGAACAGCTCCAGTTAGAAAGGGAGAGGGAAGCGGAGCTGCAGACTATTTTTAGGTGAGTCTGCCCACCTGTGAGCATCACCTGAAGAGATGGATTGTGCTGAAGAGTCCTGTCTGGTTGGCAGCACTGCATTCCTGTGTGTTCAACAGGCTTTGAAAGTGGATGTTAAGAAGAAGTGTCTGGTTGGCTTTGCAGTTGTAGAGCCCTGCAGTAGAAGTGAGCTCTGTTACTTCATTCCACGTCCTCAGCACCGTCCCCTTTGGCGTGCCCCCTCACTTGTTTGGTGTGTCCCTGTCTGCCATTCAGGACCAGGGGAGATCAGAGCAGTTCTCTGAAGCCAGCCCAGGTTGGGAGGACACGTGTGCTGCTTGGGAGCAAATGTGAAGAGAAACCTGAGTGCTCCTCTAAAGCACAGGGTAGCTCATCTGTACCCACTGAGGACATAGGGGTTTTTTAACGGTGTGTAGTGACCTTAGAGATAATTCTTCATTTCTCCTTTAGAGAAGAAGCTAAAAAAGTGTGGGAGAAGAGAGAAGAAGAATGGGAAAGAGAGAAGGTGGCCAGAGATCGTCTGATGAGCGAGGTGATGACCTTTTTTGATGAGGTATCTTTCTGTTCGATGAGGCCATCATTCCAGCTATAACCCTCCAGAGGCTTACAGCCTTCAGTACCCAGGGCAGAATTTCTCTGCTTGCCCGATACATTTTCTGGGAGCTGTTTAACCATCTGCACTGAGACTTCCCCAGTTCTGCTTCTGCGGCTGGCCCCTCTCTTGACCTATCTCCTCCCTTAATCCTCTCGCTTCACAAAGGTCCTTGCAGGCAGACAGCGCCAGATCCAAGAGAAGATGAAGTTAAACAGACGAGCCCAAGAAGAGTCCATAAAGTATCGAGAGCAGCTGATTAAAGAACTTGAAGAGGCAAAAGCACTGAGTAGGCGAGAGAAGGAGCAGGAGGAGGAGCTGAAGACAGCTCACAGGCAGGGGTTGGAGGCGCAGGTACAGCACGCCTTCCCAAATACAGCTTTCCTGATACGTGCCTGGCTGTTGCAGGTGCCTGGTCTGTCTGATCTTGCGGTAACAGCCCCATTTCCTCTGTGTGCAGCTGACAGAACGTCGCTTGCGAGAACAGGAGGAGCAGCAGCGCCAGCAGGAGGAGGAAGAAGAGGAGAGGTCAGCCCGGCAGCGCTGCGAGGAGTTGGTGCGGCAGGAGGCCGAGCGCATGGCCAAGCAGGGCTATCGCAGCAGGGTAGGTGGCAGCGTTCACATGGGGCACCCTGACATGGAAACACTTCTGGGAGGGAGACAGCATCACACAAACAGAATTCTCCTTGTTTCTGATCTGCACCATAGCTGCGTGCAGTGTCAGGGCAGCACAGCGGCCCCGTGCCTTCCCCTGGTGCCATTTCTGATGCAGGTCTATAGTTCTCTCTTACAGCTTTTCTTGTGCTGCTATTAATGCTGTAGGTCTCAATTTTTAAAGAGCTTTTGAGGCAGACTTGTTGCTACTGCTTCAAATGTTATTCTGATTATTTTCAGCATTATTGGCTGCGTTAATGCAGTTGGTGCAGTGCTTTTTCTTGGATAGTCCGTACTGTCCAAAGTACCTTTGCATCCTGAACACTGCATGCGCAGAAAACGAATTCTGGAGCCCATGAAGTAGTTGTGATCTCTGTTTTGACCCCGTTAGCTCTACAGTTACCCCAAAGCTGCATGGACCTGAGGATTCTTGTCCTCTGCACCTGAAGAAGGAGCACTCAATGGAGTTGCAGACTACAGAAAGAAAACTATGAAGAATCAAGGAGCTCCCAAAATAACACTGCCCTTGGAATAGCCTACAATCATGTTGAGACTCGACACAGTAGATTTCTGAAAGTCTTTAGCTGTGGCCCAGCTGAACACAAGAATTATTTCTACTGGGTTCAAGAATGCAGAGGTGTGAGCATCCCTGGAGAACTGAGCTGCTTCACTTCCTCTGTGCCCAGTTGTGATGATGTATTTTAGCTTCTGCTACCTGGGGCACCACAGCAAATCAAACTGAGAGAACGTGTGCCTCCCACGGCACAAGAACTGTAGAGGGCTGCAGCTGTGATTGAAGCATTGGAGTCCAGCCTCTGAGGAGCAGGGCCTGCCTTGGGACCAGCTGGTGTTCAGGAGTTCATTAATAATGCATCTTGTAAATCAGCGAGATCGGTAATGTGCTGTGGCAATCATCCTTAACATGTCCAGTTCCTCTCCAGAAGGTGCTGAAGACTTCATTAAATGCTGTTTTTTACTTGTTTCATAAATAATGAATAATTGCAACCTGAGTAACCGGTTGTTTTCTGCTGCAACAAGGGGAGGGGAGGGGAAACTGAGCTGATGCCAGAGATGGTGCTGGTTCAGCACTGCAGGCTTTGCTCAACTACAGGCACCTTTCCAAGGCCTTTTCTGTACAGACCCAGCAGTCACTTAACCCCAAATAATTCTGCACACCGAAACGGTTTTATAATTTTATAGTAATGCAGTAAACAAAAGATAAAGTCAAAATATTGTACAGAGAGAATGACACTGATAAATACAAAGTCTGGAAAAAGGCAAAAAAATTTTTACTTTCCTATGCAGCATTTTGTAAAGAAAGACAGGTTTACAGGGGAAAAAAGATCTAGTCATAATAGAAAAAACCACCGTTGTTATTTCGGGCATTACAGATCTTGTGCCCCACAGTGCTGTACAATTCCAGGCTCATCCATGCACTCCTCTTTAGTTCCACACTGACATCAGCCACAGCCTGTCCTGCGTGACTGTCACTGTGCTTCTGGAGCGGTGACACGTTCAGAGATGGGGGAACTGAGCAAAATGGTTTGTTTTAGAAAATCTGGAGCTAGCATAGCTGGAAGGAGGGCTTGAAGATAACAAATTGTCTGTTTGTTTTGGTACAGAGGCAAGTTTAAACAAGTGATACCATACAGCATAACTCAGTGTTATCCTGCTGTGGAAATCAGGAAAGATATGTTAAAAAAAAGCATACAACGGTGTCCTGAGAGATTTAAAACCACCACCCGCTGCCCTTCAATGGTGCCAATTGCAGGAAAAGCTCCTAGAAGATTATCAATGTATTTAATTGCCAGTAGCACAGGTTTAAGTAGTTTCTACAAGTGTCTTTTGCAGTTCTAATCCCAGTTCAGAGACAGTTCTGGAACTCTCAAGTGCAAAAAGGAAATGAAAAGCCCTACAACAAAGAGGATTAATTTACTGGGCTGTCATCTGCTCTCTCCATTCCTTCCCTTCCTTAAACTTGCTCTACTTTAAAAGGGAGCTGATTGCAACATGCAAGAATCCAACAGCGTTATGGCCAACCACTCACCTTCAGGTCATTTGTTAACCTAAACATGGCAGTTTTTCACCAGAAAGCCTTGAAAAGTTTATGGGTTTGGCAGACCCCATTTTCTTCCCCCCATGGAATTTAGACTCCCAGAAACCTCTCATTCTGGAAGTATGGACTGTTATGAATGGAAAACCCTGAAACACACATTGACGCTTGTCACCACGTACGTCCCTTTCTGACAGGCAGCCCAGCGTGGGTTACCCCAGCTGTAGCTTGTAAAATTTTGAAACAGTTGCATAAAACTTAGTAGGTATCAGAAATCTTTTCACATTTGGATATGTTGAGGTACAGAGGTTATATGCTACAGCAAGCACAGCTGCTTTTGCACTGGCCCTCTTCTAATTTCCTTGGTTGTTTTTTTTTTTAAATTATCACAGAAATCTTGAGTGAAATTGCATCTTGAGTTACTGAGCAATGCTGCTGCAGACAAGATGGTGCCTTGAAGCTGACAGTAAAATTCTGTAGGAAACTTAAGAATGAATTATTAAATCAGAAACAAAGGATACTATTTTAACCACTAATGCCCTAAAGATACATCAAACATATATTAATGGCATAGTGACAACTAAAAGAAATAACTATATTAAGTTTCAAATTCCTTCCAAAACAGATAAAGTGACAAAAAGACCTTGTACAGTTACATGTAATAAGCTCGGATGCCCACAACTACTACTGTTTTAGCAGACTAAAAACATTATTATTGCACAACAGTTGATATGGGAACAGATAATATTCAGGTTGTACCCCAGTACTGGGACCACAACCCTCTTCCTGGAGCCTCCAGAGCCTGTTTCGCTGTGGGTTTCTCAGTCAGCAGCACCACGGCTCCAGGACGGACGGAGCAGAGGCGAGGTTCTGCCCTCCAGTACCTGCAGCTGCCTTCAGCGGGGGTTTGGCAAGCGATGCCTGAAAGCAGAACGTGGCCCCGGGGGAACATCTATAGCAAGAGCTCGATACAACGCTGGAACGCGATACTGGCTCGACAGCTACTCGCAACGTGCTATTATCTGTAACAAAACTGGCAACACGGGCACAAAATAAGGCAGTGGGTTAAATTAATCATAAAATTGTTAGAAAACATGCAAAAATAATACTGAGTTTAAAAAAAAAACCAAACGTTTCTTGCCCCTTTAGTTTTTTTTCCTCATAAAAATTTGAATAGTTCCACACCTATGTTTGAAATCCACCCTTTAAAAAAACCAGACTAAAAAGCCCAGCGTGACTCAGTTGTTGTTCTCTTTGGTTGTGATGGTGACCAGCTGTTTAGCAGCCTTGGCGATGTCGTAGGCGCACTGGATGACTTGCTGCGTGACCAGCTGGATGTCCGTGGTGGGGCAGCTCTCCACGGGAAGGGTCTTTTTGCACTCGGATTGGAGTCTGTAGGCACTAGATGTCAGCAGACGCAAAGAAGTCCTTACCAGTTCCGATTTGGGTTTCTGGGATAAGAAAGTACAAGGTGAACTAGGCTGAACTACAAAAGCATGGTTTTTAAGACAAAAACTTCTGCAGGGGCCCTGCTTTCTGCACAGACTTCTCTGTGCCGTAGATGTTATAAGCCATCGCCGCAGAGATGTGGAGTAGCGGGCGGATGAAGTAAGTTCCCAAAATTTCTCATCTCGGACACATTCCAAACTGCTGCCAGGCAGCACGCAGGGAACGCTGCTTCACACTCTCATTTAGGAAGTTACTCATACACGTTTTCTAGTGCCCATTTAGTGCCACCCAGCCCATGTTCTGGCTGACACCAGGGTACAGTGTGTACCAGACAATCTGTTCAGGGAGGCACGACGGCATTAAGATTTTCCTCGCAGTTTTACAGAGGTAGGTAAGACTTTACAAAAATCTAATCATGGAGATTTCACTCCCTAAAATTTGCTGTGAAGGAACAGATCACTTTGGTAGATGGCCAAGAGATCTAAGCGTGCCTGCAAGAAATCCAGGCAATGGCATTCAAGTGAGTCAAGCAAAAGTCCTGGATGACCACATAACTCCTCAAGTTAGAGGCAAGCAGCCTCCAGTTTTGGAGGAACTGTGTGCAATTCTTCGAGTTTCCAGTTCAAGAGTTAAATTAAAGGCCTGGGTTCACATATTAGCCCTTCCCAAATGGCACACTAATAAATGCAAAGATGCAAGATTTGACAAAAAGCTCTCCCTACCTCCAAACTTGTGGTTTTCTACTTCTTTTTTTTTGGTATATCTACTAACAAGGAACGAAGCCAAAACCATTTTAACGCTGGAAGGCACTTACTTTTGGGAACAAGGCTGCCATTTCTGTTACTGCCACGTGTATTCTCTCGGAGCATGGTATATAGCTGCAAAAAGATGCAATGTATTATTTATTATGTAAAGACTCCCTGGCCTCTTCAATTTCACTGTCAGTGGCTATTATTCTAAAAACAACCGAGTATCAAAAGCCCTGTCTACAATATCTGTAGGCTGCACTGAAGGCAACTGAAGCAGTGCACCACACCAGGGTGACTCTTGTGTCTCCTCAGCATTCCCCAGCACAAGGCTGTACATAGCTGTGACTTCCAAAAAAGCAAGAACTTAACCAATAGCATGAAGTTATTTCTTCAGTTTTCATTATTCTTTGATCAAAGTTTGAAGGAATAACCGTCCACACCTATGATACCAAACACTGTCAGAAAAAGTCTCAATTTATATGCAACTATGGGAGCATGTGTTAACTGCACACCGATTCGTTCGTCTGCATTTCCTAACCTCTCCCCTGTCCAAATGTTAGAATTCAGCTCCAAATTGCTCAGCTCGTTCTTTTTGGTGTATGAACAATTGACGTATTACTGTTCAGTGTGGGAGAGCAAGCCCAAGCAAAGCCAGGCACAAAGTGAAGTAAGATTCTGCAGCTTGAAATATTTAAACAAAATCCAGTGACACAGAGGTGCTTTGGGGAAAAAAAAAAGCAACTTTTTTCCCCTCAGTGCAGTGTCGACAATCAAAAGCGGATTAAAAAAACCAACACACTTTGTATGTGGGATCTGAGTAAGTTTTGCTTGCTGCTATTTCAGGGCAATCTCTATCCATTTGTTTAAAAAGAGCTTTTTCTGCATAAGCCAAGAGACTGCACAACCAGGCTACCAGAAGTTTTTAAACTGCTCAGGATCTAAGCAGCTAAAAATATCCAGTAATCTCCAGAGAAAAGTTAGAAAAACAAGGGTGTTTCAATTATGTTTCAGAGTTGGATGCTGGACATCCAAACTCTTAAAAATTATTTAAAAGCCAAGTATTGATATTTATGGGACTGTCTCGTCTACACCTCTGAAGCAATGCAGTTTTTCTGCATTTCTTTTCTATGTGTAAGTGACAAAGTAGAAGCCTTTAAAAAACACTCTGTACCTAAGTTACCAAAATACCATGAACCCAAAAACCTGTATGTTCAGAACACCTGGCAGCCAGACCTGAAGTCTGACCTCCACAGGGTTGCAACCATCGGTTCTCAGCCGAACTCTGAGCCATCTCTGTAGCCAACACGTGCCCAGGTCAGCAGCTTCGTTTTGCTGCAGAGACACAGGCTGAGGACACACCTCGATTGCAGGGAGATTTATTTCCATCCCTCTATCATTTCATTATCAGGGGAAGCCAGGAATGCAGCACTGAGCACATATTTTCCCTTTGCCATTTCACAAACTGGAAGGTTACAGACCTGAGAAGGGGCTATGCCAAACTTCCAGTACGGAATTCACACCTTGCTCTTTTGGTGAAGTTTAAATGAAGGTAAAGCATCATGTGAAGGAAACTTAAGAACACCAAGATGCCTTTTCAGATTAATTTTTACGCAGTAAACAGACACACCAAGATGCCTTTTGAGATTAACTTATACGCAGTAAACAGACAACACACAGTTCTCATCCAGCAGCTTACAGATGCATGCATTTCCAGACTACCAACTGCTTCCACAGTGTATGAGCTTTAGGGCAAATATTCAGCAATTCTGTTGAGTTAGCTGATAAAACAAAGGCAGATCCCATTAGTCAGCATAGACTGAACTTGTGATTTATTTGTGAAAATTGGTCTGTTCAAAGTAGACCTTAAAACTATTTACCATGAGCTGCTGTGAAGCGCTGTGTTAGTGTGATCTGTCACAAGCCTGATTTCAAGAGACTTGTTTTTATGCTTCAAAGACCCAATTTCAGTGTAAGTTAGTTACCGTGATTCAGTCTTAAGCAAGAGAATCTCAAAGAATCACAAAACAACAGCATTCAAGAAAAATATTCAGCATCTGTCGATTATGGTCGATCATTGCTCTTTCAAGCAAACAAAAAAAAAAGACAAACCCCCAAAGCTTCACAGTCGTTATTGATGCAGTTATCTTGCAACACCAAAGTGCAAAACCAGATCGCTTGCAAATACACAGAGAAAGAAGCAACACACTGGGGTCATTTTGGCAATGCAGGAAAATTGCTTTACAAAGGAGTATTTCTGTATGTCTCAAAAGTCACACAAGTTCTTCCAAATAAAATACAAGTGGAGAGAAGTCTTCCCAGTTCACTGTAATTCCCATTCTGCTATTAAGTTAACAATTAATTTGCTCCCTGCAAGCCACACTGAACTGCACCTTACCTCATGAAAAGCCAGTTTGCTGATTAAACCCTTCACTAGTGAGGCAGAGAAAGCTAAGAGTAACTTTTATGGAAGAGACAAAACACCACCAGATATTTCACAATATTCTCTAGGTTAGCTGCAAAGTTCACAGGGCGTCTTGGAGGAATGGCTTTATTTTAGTCTAAACACTCCCTGGAAGCTCATGAAATAAAGTGACCCATTTGTTGAGTTTACACACTTTCCAGTAAGAGATCAGGAGGATTTTCAAGTAGTGACAGCTTGGAAAAAGAATCCATCATTAGCAGTAACTTGTGGTAACCTCCTCCTCCAATCCTGGTGTTTGTCACTGGGGTTGGAACTTGGCAACTTCTGTTTTAAACAACATCTCACTTCAATTTCATTTTTGTCAGCCATTAACACGCAATTCTTTGGTCAGGTTGGAAGATACTATTGAAACACATCTTTTTTAGTTGATTTGAGATATGAATGATCTCTCCTTTGACAGGCCAGCTGTATAAACGGCTGAAGGCCTAAGCTGTCTGGTGTGAATGTTGCACCTTGAACTGTGAAACTTCTTCTTTTGCAACAGTGCACAGAAGCAGCAAGCACATATGGTGCTCTTGTCATAATTTAATTTATCTCCAAGGACAATAAACACAACAGAGACAGGAGAATCTTTCACACTAGAGACAGTTACAGATCCATGCTGCGATTGTGTTCTGCATTAAATCAATACCGGGAGCTTCAACTGAACGAGTGATATCACAGGTTCCTAACTCTGTGCTGGCTCTCTGCAGTTTCGCTATCACCCGAAGCATTTCATGCATCGCCTTCAACGACCCCTGTGCAGATGGTGCGTGAGGGA